GATACAACTACATTTGTGGATTCTAATTCTACCCTCTAACGGATCTTTTCATTGCCTATATAAAGGAGTCTTGGAATAATGGAACAATGCCAACTTTAAGAGAATATCATTTACGTGAACATTGCATACTACAAACATTTTTTAGAGAAAGAGAAACAAACACACAAGGAATTTTTGTTCATGTCCTTTATAGAAAATATTTTGTGTGATATACTTTGTAATTCGTTTGTGTATTCTGCTTTCTTAGAAGCATTTTGTAAATACACTTTGTATTTCAATCTTTGTGGTTGCATTTTCTTAAGTGGCTAGGGTTTAGTTAGAATTACTTAAGAAGACATTGATAGTTAGTCTTTGTGGCTATAATCAAGTTTAGTTATATTGTATTTAGTCCTTGTGATAAGGCGGAATCACCTTGATGGATGGATTAGAAGTAGCTTTCTTAATAGCAAACTAGGATAAAAATAATTCTGTTCATTATTTTTGTTCTTATTTTTCTCCTTGTATTTTGGGTAGCAAAAGTTTTCTCTTTAGAAATCCAATTCACCCCCCCCCCCCAGCCCTTTCTTGTGTCTCCGTTACCTTCAACCATACTTTCTAATTAAGGTTTTATTAGGCTTTTGATAATTCTCTTAATCTCCACTATAGATGTTAAAACCACACTCTAATGGTTAATGACACCTTAGAGAAATTTAGGGCATTACACAAAGAGTCATAAATATTCTTTATTGTTTCTCTCTTAGGACATTTTTAAAATTCATTGAAGATACTAACATTCATTATAAAACTTATAGCCTTGTGATGCAATTTGTTGTTCTTTTCTACTCAGAATCCATTTACTTTCTAGTTATCAAAACTATAGGTGATGTGTATCCTTCTTATATTATCCAAAATATGTACACCTTGAGATACGAAGAAACTAATTTTTTCATTTTTCTATATGTGAGATATTAGATCGAACTCTGGTATGGTCGAAGCCTGTTCGCGAGTAATGCGTGTTGTAGTCGAAGTTTGTTCTAACATGCATTAGTCAATATTGCTAGGTTTGTTAGCATGTTGAATTGGACCTTGCTTGTAAGCTCAATTGTTTAAGTTAGCTTGTACCCTAAGTTAGCTTGTAATGGGTAATTGTTAAAAAAACCTATTAGGTTAGTGTGCTAGTTTTCTTATAAATAGCATGATAGTCTCTCATCTTGCATAAGGAAAAATAGGAAGATAAAATCCTAATTCAAGAGAGGTTATTTGTTATTCTTGTATATTTTTTGTAATCTTGTTTGATAGAGAAAGAAAAGAATAGCAGTTTATAACCAATCCTTGTTGTTTCTTCTTGTTCTTCTTGCTTGTTTTCTTTGTTAACCCTAACCCTTGTGTGTTTCTTGAATATAAAGAAACCATTTATATTTTGTTTTAAGACATTATATTCACAACACTATAAAAGTCAAGTCTTTCCCCACTAAACATTTGGGTTTGATTGAGTGAGAAATACTATTATTTTCTTCAACATTATTGTTATTCTTAGCCACTGTGTTTCTCGAAAAACTTTACCCTTACACAATTAATTATTTAAATAAGAGATAGAATTTTGGATGCCTACTAACAGTGGAAAAGTACAAGAAACAAGGTTAGAATTGTGTTAAGTTAAAAACAAAATATGTGTTTTCTTGAAGATAAACAAAAAAGATAAATAAAAAAATAGAAAAGAACAAAATATTTATCTTGATTTAATTTAGGACCCGCCCCCACCCGTCCGGACCTGCACCCGATTTAATTGAGTGCGGGTGCGGGTGAAACCCGATTCTTAACTACGGGTGCGAGAAGACTTTAAGACCCGCCCACGCCCGCCCCGCCCCCGGATAATGCATTTTACTTTAAGTATCTTCTTTTACTTATTTTAAAATTTATTTATTAATTATATTTTTAATTAAATTATTAATGCCCTTATTGCAATTAAAATAATTAAGTTAATATTTATTTACTAATTAAATTTTTAATTTAATAATTAATTAATTTATTAAAACAATTAATGTTATAATTAAATTATTAATTTTTATTGCAATTAAAAAAAAAATTTGCGGATGGGGCGGGACGGGTGCACCCGTTCTCTACTGAGAGCGGGTCTGAGTGATAAATTTTTACTGCCGATTAAGATTGGAAGCAACAGATATGTTACATGGAGGCGGGTGTGGATGCGGATATAGTTAAATCCGTTCCACCCCGCCACGTTGCCATCTCTAATGCTTGATATATTTTTCATTATAAGTAAATTTATTACAAATACGAATGTATCACCTAGTCCAACCCACACTATCTTATATTTCTCAACACAGAGAATTGACGGACAACTTAGTTTTTTGGTCTTCTCAAATAATCTAACTACAACTTATCCCTTTGAAAAAATTACTATAAATAAAATGATAAAATGTTCGTGTTTACAATATAAATTCTCATAAAGAATGTAAACATGATTTACCTCAATAAAAGTGTTATATATATATATATATATATATATATATATATATATATATATATATATATATATATATATATATATATATATATATATATATATATATATATATATATATATATATATATATATATATATATATATATGTATATATATATATATATATATATATATATATGTATATATATATATATATATATTTATATATATATATATATATATATATATATATATATATATATATATATATATATATATATATATATATATATATATATATATATATATATATATATATATATATATATATATATATATATATATATATATATATATATATAAAATTTGTTATCACTTTTAATGCTTTGAATGTATTTTTCTTTCATTTTGATTTGTTCGTGTAAATAATATTTTCAAAGGTTTGTTTCTAAAGGTTCTAGATAAATTTAACTTCTTAAGAATATGTATATGTTAAAAAGTTATATTTATTTTTAATGAAGTATTTGATATATAGGTTTGTTTGATTGAACCGTTGCGATAGATATTTGTTATGATTAAATATATTATTGTTGTGAAAATTGGTAGAATAACTTAAATTAAACTAATTAAGAGGAATGATTTAATGTTAAAATAAAAAACAATACAACAATATAGGCAAAAAAATAAAAACAAAACCACAACAATTTAGAAAAAGATAAAAACATAGTAATTTGTTTATCTAATTCAATTAAACAATTTACTATAGACGAGCATTTTGATTCACTTAAAAGTTGTTATAAGATATTATAAATGAGTTACAAAAAAAATTATTTGAGATTCCATAAATAAAATTCTATTTGTACCTAAGTGTTTCTGATTCTCTTCAACTCTTACTATACGATTCACACAAATTCAAGATATTTAAAAGTGTTTTCTAATCTTCTTAAATACTTTAAAAGATTTGCTAAATTCCAAAGAATTTCAAGAATTGTCTCTTTAAGTTTCCCACTAGATAAACTCTTCTTTTTGTTTTATGTGATAAAGTTCTAAAGATTATAAAGACAAGAAAGATAGCAATACACATTATAACTGCGGAAACCCAAATAGACAAAAACATAACTCATTAATTGTTAAAATAAAAATATTATAAGTTTCTTATAATAACTTTTATATTAATTTAGAATATTATAAATATCTCATAATAAATCTTATATTAATTTAGAATATTATAAATATATTATTATAGTTTTATATTAAAAAATAATATTATAAATATCTTATAATATTTTTCATATTAATTTAATTTCATAGAGTATCTCTTAATTAATATAAAACTAGATTGAGAACTGTCCGATGCACGAATGTAAATTAGTTTTTATTTTAATATTAATTTGAATTTTTTTAAATATTTTTTTCACAAATATAGTTATATTATATTAATTTATTATAACTTTTTTGACTAATATAATTAATATTTTTATATTAACGATATGAACTAATTACAAATAAAAAATAAAATATATGTTAGTAAGATGACGGTAACATATAAATTAAATTTAAGTAATTATAAAATATATCATTAGTGGTTTGTTTTTTATTTTGATTATCATATCTTTTATATACTTGTGTATATTTTAGATATTTATTCTATGATGTTTAGATATATATCACGCTTGATGAACAATTTTTTATTTATTAATTTTTGAATTGTTAAAATAAAACTTTAAATTTTATTATATAGAATTATGATTAAAAAAATTTATTGAGAATTTATATAAAATTTTTTAGGATTTTTTAACTATACTTTCGGATTCAAATTAGTTTCTTAATTATTTTTCGTGTCAGATTGGTCTCTTAACTCATAAAACATGTCATGTTAGTCTTTTTCGTCTAATTTATAACGAAAAAATTTATAAATCAATTGTTAAATTCGTCGCTATTTAGACAAAAAAAGACTAACATAACGTATTTTAAGAATAAATTTAATAGGTTTACATGAGTATGCTTTATCACTTATTTTTTTTTTACTACCTTTCATTTCTTCTCTCCACCCAATCAAAACTTAAATAGGTGAGTCCAATTATTATTATTATTTAAAATAAAATAAAAAACCATTATCATAATGAAAACTGTTTAAACGACAAACATACAGTAGTAATTGTTGCCTATCTTTTCATAAACAAGAAGAAAATAATGATTACACTACATGTTAACAATTGGTTACTACTACTAATGTTGTTTCTCAGTACAAGATTTATAAACATAGAAAGAAAAGAATGTTGATTAGGCAGCAGAACAGAACAGAACACAAGAACACTGTGTAGGCCCCACATCAACAGTTGTCTTGTCCGCGCGTGCTTCCAATTCCCTCACGTGCGAATGGAATTTGCGTTGTTTATATAAACCCAAAGGGCATTTTCAAAGTGTTGTGGTTGTGGTACTAGTAGTGGTAGTGAAGCCATAAACCAAACAATATAGCATTTCAATTTCAACCACTGAGTGATTCAGTTAGTTACATCATTCATTTTCATAAGGGTACAAACTATACATAGCTCTAATGGAGACGCATGGTGAAATAAGGGTATCAAAGTTCAAGAGGGTTTGTGTCTTTTGTGGGAGTAGTCATGGCAAGAAAACTAGTTATCAAGATGCTGCCATTCAACTTGGAAACGAATTGGTATGTGATTTCTGCTCATAACATGTTTGATAGAAGTAACTTTGATGCTAAACATGATTTTTTTTTATATGTAATTGTGGATGGTTTGTGAAGGTGTCAAGAAATATTGATCTTGTTTATGGAGGAGGAAGCATTGGTTTAATGGGTTTGGTTTCACAAGCTGTTCATGATGGTGGTAGACATGTCATAGGGTATGTATATCAGTATCAACTTTTTCTTGTCTTTTTCTCAAAGTTTTCATTTTTATGAAATAATTAATCTTTTGTGCTTATTATGTTAGTCTCTTTCTCAATTGACACTGTTTATTTGTCATGCTGTTGTCTCTTGCAGAGTTATTCCCAAGACACTTATGCCTAGAGAGGTACTGTATTTGAGAAAAGCTTATAGTCTTTTTTTCTCTTTATTATTCAAAAGGGTTAAACTTTAATTCTTTTTTTCTTCTTCTTTTGTTACTCCCTTTTTCCATTGATACTATATTCTATTCATATATTCCTACCATCCTGGTTCTTATCTTGTTATAGTTTCACAGTTTTGTTGTTGAAGTTGCTTTCTTTTGAGTGGAAAAAACACGAGTTATTTTGTGTGAAAGTGATAGTAAAACTAAGTGTGAAAAAAATCAATTAATGGATCTTTGACTCTTTTGTTTTACTTCAGTGCTTGTAAGTGCTGGAATTTTTCTTATCTATTCTTTTGCTTTGTTATCTATTTAGTCGCTTTTTGAACTTTTGTTCTTATTTTATGTTCCGTTTATCTTGTCCTTTTGTAGCTAACTGGTGAAACCGTGGGAGAAGTAAAGGCTGTAGCAGATATGCATCAAAGGAAGGCTGAGATGGCTAAGCACTCAGATGCTTTTATTGCCTTACCAGGTTAGTCTGACCTAAGGTTTTAAATAATGGCCGTGGTCGCAGTCGCGACGCCGTTAAGTAAAGACTTTTGCGATTTCAATTGGTACACATGTTGTGATTGTGAGTTGCGGTTGTCACAGTGTAAATTAATGATAATTAATTTTTCATTATAAAAAAGGTAAATAATAGTATTGGTATAAGTAGGACGGTTTTAAAACCTTCTGAGCTAACAATATTAGAAAAGTAATAGAAATTTATATCAAATAGCTTCTAGCTTTTTGTAGCTTTATCATGTAGCATTGACCATATCTCAGTCTTTAATGCTTTCTGTAATAAACTAATTAACTTTTTTTTCTGTCCTTTTGAACCCTTTTGACATATACCATTACCTAAAGTTTTACCACGCCATTGGTAAAAGATAATGAGGACTAGTTAGTGCTTCCTTTTAAGAAGAATCAAATCAAATTGTTGGTTTGTTGGTCAAGGCTTGGTCCTGAGAGTGCCCTCCTCTCAAGATCTCAGGTTCGAATTCTGTTAGGTGCTAACAATTTCTGTGTTGGATCAGTTCATACAGAGTTTTGCCCTGCCTTTAAATAGGGCCCCGCAAGTCGACGGTAGGGTTAGTCCCTTGGATTAGTAGAAGAAATAGGAGACTGCTGCAAAATGATATTGTGACTTCATAAAATATCCAAAATGCTATGATGATTAGAGAGTAGTGACCCTTCAAAACCTGACTTTGCCTGAGACTTTTTGACATTTTTGGCTAAAATATTGAAATGCATTGACTCAGAACAACTGTGATTCTGAGGTTGAAGTACACCATTTTAGCATCTATTTCCTTGGAATCATGACGTTTTTGTACTGAATCACTTATGGCTTTGATAGAGAAAGTAAGGAAGTAAAGCAAAAGAATAACTGTCACACACACAACACAAGAAAATGTTTTCAAATGGCACCTGTACTGTACCTGTCATGGAATAAAGCTTCTTTTTGAAGATTTTTATTAAATTCTGGTAGTAGTTATCATTCTGAGATGCTGAAAAATAGTGACTTATACAGAAGGCATGCCACACAAAGACAAAAGTTGTCAATCACTCTTATTCTGTGTTTCTTTTTGTTAAATTATTAAAACATTTGCAAATTATATGCAGGTGGGTATGGAACTCTAGAAGAGCTTCTTGAAGTCATAACTTGGGCTCAACTCGGGATTCACGACAAACCGGTACCATTTTGTTAAAGAACCTATGAATTAATTATTTCACATTGTGCTAAGGAAACTAGATTTAAGAATCCACAACAACTTGCAGGTGGGATTAGTAAATGTCGATGGATACTTTAACTCGTTACTGTCATTCATTGACAAAGCTGTGGAAGAGGGATTTATAAGTCCAAACGCGCGTCATATAATTGTATCAGCATCTACATCGAAAGAGTTAGTGAAGAAATTGGAGGTAAATAATTTTCATAGGCTCATAGATAAAATTAAAGTGTACTTGTACACAATCACATTTTCTTCTGCAGACTTAAGCAGAAATGATATTTTATGTTTTGGTTTTTGATTCATAACAGGATTATGTTCCTTGTCACGAAGGCGTTGCTTCGAAGTTGAGCTGGCAGATGGAACAACAGCTAGCTTATCCTGAAGAGTATAACATCGCAAGGTAGCTGAATGTTTTAGTTTACTTGATGTGCAAGGAAGATGAGACTAGATAGAATTTTGGAGGTAGCTGAGTATAACATCTCAAGAAGCTATAGTGGAATATCCCTATTCTGTTTTTCTTTTTTCCGCATGAAGTAATTTCCTTTGTAAAGTACTTGGATTGACCTGAAAAAAAAAAAAGTGAAATTACTTTCCACACTTCTTTTGAAAACTGATTTCCCTTCTAAGTTGTAAGTACTAGGGGCTAATGAACTTATTAGTCAATGACAACTAGTTTAACCCTTTTAACTAATTAATTTATTTCTCACTGCAAAGCATCGACACTTTAGAATAAACGCGCATCCAGTCAATAATTGACTAAACGCTCATCTAATCAATAATTACCGAGAAGCATTGACATTTTAAAATAAACGCGCATCTAGTGTCAAACACCAATACGAAATCGACACATATCATTGACTAATTATTATCAAAATTCTATCTTTTTGTCCATATACTTCTAGTGCTATTAGACTGAACAAAGTAACAAACACAAACTCACTCAATCAAATCAAACAAAGAGCACAGTACAAGACCACTCAATCAAATCAAAAGATAAACAAAGAGCACAATACAAGATAATAGGGGCAATGAACAGATTGAGGGAAATTCTTAGATATGGTCCAACTTAACTAGAGTGAAGTGTTGATAATTATTAATGGGTGCAATTATACAATAAACATGTTTATGACTTGCATTGAAGTAGTTGACTTTCAAGAGATGAGATTGATATATGTGAAATACAAATTTTTTACGAACTATTTAATGGCGCAATTGACCGTAGACTATTCGATCAAAACTCTCTCTTTCTTGATCTAACTGTTTACGGTTTCTGCACTATAAAATCGACTTGAGATAGCATTCTTTTTAAGTGAGTCAAGTGCCAATCATAGCATATATTCACCTAACATATTGTTCCAAAATACATTTGGAGTGGGGGGCATACTTTCAGTTTATATAGGCTCTTTTGTGTCCAATATTGCCATGTGTTAGAAAAGGACACAAGGGATTCAAACTACAAGTTAACGGATCATGTGCCACATGCATCTAAGGACAATAAAATAGCCATAGTTGGTCCCGGTATCATCTATCAAATGCTTGTGGTTGAAAGAAAACCTTGTGATTCTCATGGAGAAAATAGAAGGAGAAGTACAAGAAATGGTAGGGGTAGCATGACAGAAAATTTGGTCCTGAAATTAAAAAAGTTTCAAAATAATATCTCATTTAATTAAAAGTTTCATAGCTAAATTGGTGATTCACAAAGTAAAGTACCCTTCCCTAATTTTGTCCTCTAAACATTTTACTCTAGCATGTTTGATTGATTCAAGAAGATAAGGTAAGTATAAAGCTGCTTTCTCCAACTCAATAAACTCTTGCATTTAAGGATGACAATTTTACTCATCTCTATAGGATACCTGTAAAAATTACACATAATAGGGTAAAAATCCGCAAAACAGATACGGATATGGGCATGAGCAATTACCTACTAAAATATGCGGTCATGGGCACGGGTACGGGTACCTTAGTACCCGACTTGTCTCATACCCGGACTATATATATTTTTATGTTTTAATTTTTATTATTATAAACATGTGTATGTTTATCAATTTTGTTGAATACATCTACATTAAACTTGTACATATTTCAATGTAAGTGTTTATTTATTTCTTTAACTCAACAATAATATCCTTAAATATTTTTAATATTGTCAAAATTTTGAAATAACATGATAAATTATTATAGATCGATAATCTTTTATTAGAAATGCGGGCAAATGGACATTTAGCTACTCATAGGATACGAGTACGGGTACAAATGTTGGTGTCCACAAGGGTATGGGTTCGGGTACAGAGATTTTTTTAAACTACGAGTATGAAGATGGATACTATAGTACCCTGTCCAAACCCTACCCGTTGCCATCTCTACTTGTATTCTATATTGAAAATGAAAATGATAGACTCAAGGAGAATGAATCCTGTCGGAGCTATAACGAGTGCTTCAGGTATGGCAAATCGACGAATCTGATGGACATGTAAGATTAGGGATGGCAACGGGGCGGGTCGGGGGCAGGTTTAACTATACCCGCACCCGCACCCGCCTCCATGTAACAGACCCGCCCCCGCCCCCAAATCCAATCGGGGATGAAAATTTACCACCCAAACCCGCCCCCAGTAGAAAACGGGTGCACCCGCACCCGCCCCGCCCCCACCCGCAAAAAAATATTATTTTTTTAATTATAATAAAAATTAGTAATTTAATTAAAAAATTGATTATTTTAATAAATTAATTAATTATTTAATTAAAATTTTAATTAATAAATGAATATTAACTTGATTAATTTTATTATTTTAATTGCAATAAGAATATTAATAACTTAATTAAAAGTATAACTAATAAATAAATATTAAAATAAATAAAATAAGGAAATCAAAATAAAATATATTATTTGAGGCGGGGCGGGGGTGGGTGCGGGCGGGTCTTAGTGTCTACCCGCACCCGCACCCGTAGTTAAGAACCGGGTTTCACCCGCACCCGCACCTGCACCCAATTAAATCGGATTTCCCCCGTTAATTTCGGGGCGGACCCGGGCGGGTGTCGGCGGGCCCGGGTTTGTTTGTCATCCCTATGTAAGATTAATATTTCAATGCACAAGTTAGTGAGCAATGGAAGATAAGTGATAATGCAAATAAAAATGAGATCATACATGTGAATAACGCATGAGTAAGATGCATGAAGTTGTCTAATTAAATATGATGGTAGGTGACCTTTAGGCGAAGGGATTAAGTGTTGGACTCCCCGGTACGGTTACCTTATCCTTGAAAAATTATCCTGTCACTCTTATATTTTGACCTGACACCCCACACATCTTATGCATTTATCATATTAACTCTGTAAAATATAAAATTTCATTTTCACAAATCCATTAGAAGATTCGAGTTTTTTGAAAACCTATCATGTTTATTGGATTTTTCAAGAAAACTACTGAATTTATGACCAATAAATTTAACTTTTTTAGATTATACCGGATTTTTAGTAAAAAAAACCATGCATTATTTACCGCATTTTTAGAAATATTCGGTAAAAACTCATATTTTCATGCATTTTTACCTGATTTTTGAAAGAAAAAAAAACAGTAAAAATGCATACATTTTTTTCGTATTTTTTAAAAAATCCGGTGAAAATGCATGGTTTTTACCGCATATTTAAAAAATTACAATAAATATGTATGCATTTTTACCATTTTTTCAAAAAATTCAAAAAAATACATTATTTTTTACCGATTATTTTGAAATTTCTGGAAAAATGTATTATTTGTATCGGTTATTTTAAAAAATTCGGTAGTTCAAATTGTACTGTTTTTTCAGTGATGACCAGAGGATCAGACGACACGATAGTTTACAGGCAACTTGACAGAGCTACAACTGTTGTAGCGACGACTCATATGAAGAGAGATGTACACACAAATGAAAGGTTTTTGAAATTCTGGCACGCAAATATCAGATGTCACAACACCAGAACCAACAACAGCTTGAACACACAGGAAAAGATGCAGAATTATAAATGACAGAATAGTAAATAAACACCAGAATTATTAACCTAGTTCGGTGCAACTCACCTACATCTAGGGGCTACCAAGGCAGGAAGGAAATTTACTATGATAGTATTAGTTCAAAGCTAAACTCGTCCGTTTACAACTTCTCGCTTAATCCCTACCTTATGCAACTTCTACCTAGACACCCTTTAGATATGAGATCCCCCCTAACTTTATAATCAGTCACAATCCCAGTGACAATTCAAAAATAACAAACAATAGAAGTATCACACTTCCAAGACAGTATTTGATCTTGCTTAAAAGATTCAACCATTTGTTGTGCTTGTTTTATTTGTTGGTTCTGATGTTAGATCAGATGCCATGACTTTATGTCATGTTTGTTGTTTTTGAATTGTCACTGGGATGTGTCTGATTAGGAAGTGAGAGGGGGATCTCATATCTAGAGGGTGTCTAGGAAAAAGTTGCACAAGGTAGGGATTATGCGATAAGTTGTAAACGGACGAGTTTAGCTTTGAACTAATACTATCATAGTGAATTTCCTTCCTGCCTTGGTAGCCCCTAGATGTAGGTGAGTTGCATCGAACTGGGTTAATAATTCTAGTGTTTATTTTATTGTTATATCATTTATAATTCTGCATCTTTTCCTGTGTGTTCAAGCTGTTGCTAATTCTGGTGTTGTGACACCTGTCTCGGCATCTGATATATGCGTGTCAGAATTTCAATTAGTATTAGAGCACACTCAAAAATCACACTAATACCAAAATAGACATGCCCTGGCTATCTTGTATAACATGTCTTGGAACATGTCACGACATCATGCAGAACATGATGTCTGACTGTCATGACAGAACATTTGGTTCAACATCTTTCTAACAGCATGTTGTTTTACCAAAATGCAGTCAATCCAAAAATCACGGGACTTATAGTTTCTTAGAGGGTCCAGTTGTTGTTTCATGCTCACTGGATATGCAGATCATATGGCATTCAAATTTTTGCAAGGAGAGATATGTATATGATATGTCGATGATGTGACTTTATTTATTATTGATACGTTGAAAATCATTTATGCTTTTTACTTTATTTGTTACAGGACCGACTTTCTCTAAAAGTGCCCACCCACGGGGAGAAGCAGAAGAAGTTCATAGATGTCTCAATGTCACGAGAGGTCAGGGAGGTTGTTTGTGATTGTGGTCTCCTTCTAGTGGTGGATTGTTCACTGACCATGCTTGACGGTCATCTATTAACATAATTTGTTTATCGATGGCATAATGAGACATCTTCCTTCTATCTTCCATTTGGTGAGATGAGGATTACCTTGGATGTTGTCTCCTCTCTGTTCCATCTTTGCCTGACATTTAGTTTCTTCACCACTCCTTTCATTAGCCAAGATCTTGCACGTATTACTAATGTACA